GTTGAAATCTATTTCAACATAAGTAGATAGAACATTTAAGGAAATTTAGGGAAGAATTAAAAAGGAATGAAATGATTTTTAACGCGTAATGCGAGTGAACAAGTGACACACGCTTTATCAAAAACAATTTCTTCGATAGTCGGTCAATAGAAACACTAGAGAGAATACTCTTGAAATTTCGCACAGAATTTACCCTGAAAGAAGTAGCGTAATGAGAACAAGAGAATGAGTAAATGCATAGCAATGAATGAATAGGAGCGAGATGAAAGTTTAAGCGAGAATCGACGTATAGGCAGATAATGAGACATCGATATTCTCGCGACGTTCCTCTACGGAAATGCTTGTAGACAAGAAAGAGCGGACTAATTTAGTATTATATGCTCGTAAGCTTTGATCGCGTCCTTATGCGCACACATGATATGACAGATTGTTTACAATTGATCAAGAGCCCTCTGTTGTCACTGCGATGAGCGCTTTTATGCCATTGTTCCCGCCATTCTCTTCTAACACATAAACACTTTCGGGCTCATTCTTCGCTGGGCAATAAACTCTGGGAAAATTCGATTAGCACTCAAGCGAACGCGTATGCTTCACGTAATTATCTCTTGTAATTTCTACTAGAAGATAAGAACAACTATCGATTAATTCTCGTGAATATTCATTCGATGGGATGATTATAGAATTAAGGAATTCTATCACGCCTATGAAGCCAATATTTGATGTTACTTTCAAAATACTAGGGCATACAAATTTTAAAATATTAACAATTGTCCATGAAATGTACGTGTGATTTAGATATTTTATAAAATTAATGCTTCAAACTTTCACAATATTTACATTATATACATCTGACTAATAATTTCTCAAACTACAATTATTTTTTTATTAGAATCTGAAAGACAAAAACTATTAACAATTATAAATGTAATAAATTAAAAAAAATGTATAGTAGTATATTCTGTACTTAAAACTTTAATCATAAAATGTAGCTTTAAATCGTTGACTATGCATCATAATAATGAGAATATTAAAACTGTGAATAAAACAAGAAAAAAACAATTATTAAAAAAATTTCTTACTGTGAAGAAAAATAATCGTGTATTAAAAGTTAACAAACATTAATAAACAATTCATTTATTTAAATATAAGAGGAAAATTTAATAATATAAACTTTAATAGATAAAAAAAATTTACTCATAAAACATTATCTAATCACAAAAATAAGTTTTTTTTAGATAATATACTTTTTAATAGTTTTACTTTTTCGAGGATTAATTTTTTCTGTTATAATTATCACATTTCAAGTTACTTATCAATCTCGTAAAGTATATGGTGTCAATCCTCGACATCTTAAATCCTAAAGAGTTGATACTTCATGTATGAATATATGCACTTCGGTCTTGAAATGGACTCGGAAGACCGGAAGACGGCATCTATTTATTATATAATGATAGTCGAGCATGAGAGTCGATGTAAGTATATAAGTATGTAATATAATATAATATAGATGTAAGTATAATAATTTAAAATAATACCAATCATCAGTATATACATATAGATATATATATATTTTTCTTTTTCCCTATTGATAATAAATATAAATACATTGACAATTAAATAAAATAAATTTTTATAAATAATAGTTCTCAAATATTTATAAAATACATTTGTGCCAAGTTAATGGTAATATTATTATATATTTTTTTTTATTCTCCAAATTTAAATTATTATATAACAATATATTATGTTTAAATTAAATAAATATTATTTATAATACGATGTTAATCAAATTAAATTTATTATACCTAATATGGATAATTAAATAACTTATATTTAATATAATGTATACAATCGCTTATATCTTATAATAATATATTTATAGAAGAATCAGTTATTTTATAATTAGCTTTAAGAAATAAAATGGTTTAGTTTTACAAGTAAAGACTGTATATAAAAAATCAACTTACATATTGACGATGCAGATTAAATAATTAATATTTATAAGCTAATTAATTTGAATACTGAAAACGATAAGACAAAAATAGAATAATAATGAAAGATAAAATATATGAATTTCATTTAAAGACAATTATAAATAAAATTCAGAAATAATTGTATAAATGATAAGTGCAGAATATTTTATAGTTCATAATTAGAAACAAATATTACAGAAATATAATAGAAACATATATGATATTTTCATTATCTGTGATATACTTTAAATGTATTTTACTGTTTAATGTCGTTTCATTAATAAATGTTGTGTTTTAATGAAATTACCGACAACAAAGTCTGTTTCTGTTTTATCGGTACGAAAATTTACACATATATCGTATTGGCATTATCTGCTCTAAACTGAACTTACTTTATATGTGAACATACATATATTATGCCTGTTCATAGGAGGTATGCATAAATTCATATCACCATTAAAATGAATTTCAATATTAATGTACATATATGTATTTATAAGCAAAATGCTAAATATGTCGAGTGTGACTGTTATAGAATCGAATGGAAATATAATTTACAATACTTTGTTATTCCATGACAAATATATATAATTCTAAAATTTATTTTTAAAAAACTTAACAATATAATTAAGTTATACGATTGAAAAAAGTTAGTACGAAATAATTTTAAACATAATTAATCTGACTATTATACCTTATTCAGTTTAACTTTTTAAAATAATATTTCTCAGTTTGAAATATGTAGTAACTAGTTTCTGCTAATGAAAATCACTAAACTAAATAAATTTCCTGTATAAATCATTAGTTAAATCATTTTATATTATTTTATATAAATTATAATATATGTAGCGCAATTATACAAAAATGTTTCGAATGTATTTAACTGAGATAATCTGTAATAGCGAATAAAAATTACAATTTTCATCGCAGTTATTGATTATAGAAGATAATAACATAACATTAGTACTTTAAATATTAGTGCAAATGCAATGTTCTATCTCATATTTTCAATTATTCGAATTGCTAGAATCATCAATGATAAAGCATAAAATCTCTTACGGCTTTTGACTTATCAAAGCATAAAGTGAAATAAAACAATCGTAAAACATAATTTATAACATACCTTCACCTCAAGCCAGTAGCTAAATTTCCACAAAGTTATTAAAGAAAATGAGATATCGCGAAAATCAATAGTGAATTAAATGAAGATGGACTAAGGTAGATAAGTAGACGCTTATAATTTTAATTGGTCAGACTGGCTTAAGCTTATAAAGTGTGAAAGCCTTGTATAAGCGTTCCAAACGAACCTTTTGCAAAATATTTTGCGGTTAGCGAGCAAGCAAATGAACCCTACCCGCGGTCTTACGGGTGTGTCAATGCAATGAAGCTAGTTACTTCCCACGAAAATGAAATTACCTGTACTCCGCTTTCGTCTTAGGTGACAAATCGTTTTGTGCAACTTTTCTCTCTATCCCTCCCATCGACCGCCGGTCTTACTCACTCCGCCACTGACTCTTCTGTTCCGAGTTTTTGGAGTGGCGAGTCCCGCGCTTTTCATTCCCTCCAACCGTCATTCGGAACTCCTTCTCATACTTATTCCCAAAGAGTCCTTCTTTTGCCACCCTTTGCTGTTCACATTTTCTCTTTCATTTTACTTTTTTGCATACTCTCTGATTAAAAAAAGAATTCCGTGTCAAGAAAAAATGAACGCTGAATTATATCGCGGCTGTACAATTCCTTAGACAGCTTTTTTATTTCGTTTATGATGATCTTACATAATACGTCAAATGCAAAGTTTTTAGAAATATTATTTATCTTATTTTCCGAATGTAAACATAATTTTATAAAAAGGTTTCTTTTTATAAATTCAATGTTTTTCTATGTTCTAAAAGTTCTTTGTATGTTGTATAAAATTATATGAAAATTATTTATTAAAGTTAGTTTGAAGAAGTATTATGTCAAATAATAGAGATTAAGTAAATAAAGTATTGAAACTCCGTCTTTTGGTAATATTTCATCGCCTATTTTAAATATTTATCTATTTCAATTACAGATTCTTCATTTAATATTTCACTTCATATTTTATTAAATGTAAATTGAATAAAAATTAAACATAAACGTATTAAACATAAGTTCACATTAAAAATAATACATTTTTTCATAAATTAAAAGTATAATATTATTGAACATAATGACATATTTAATAAAATAGCTCACATTTATAATGCACACTAACATTTCAAGAAATTTATAGCGAAATTTAGACATACGTGTTAATACTTATTATAATTATTCAACTATGCCATATTTAATTGTATATAAAGTATATGAAAAATGTTAATCTTTATTTAGTCGAATTAATGTAAAAATTTTAATAAAAATAATTTTGATATAGTTATAAAAAAAAATGAATCAACGAAAGATTTATAATATTTTTAAATAAGCATAGTAATGATAATCAACGAAAAGTAAAAACAAATTATTACAAGTTTACTTATGGTAATAAGCAGTTTACAATGTCAAAAAAATTTGTCTTTGAATATTAATTATCCCCCGGCTTATTCGCCATTTTTAAAGTTATACAAATGATATTGATCTGTCTATCTCGGGAATTATGGAGCGAAAACCTCGCATAGCCTCTTATAAACTTTATCCTTTAAGAATCACAAGATATAAAAAGTTGGCCTAAATTATTAGAAGTGTCTTTGAAATTTATACGATATTAAGTGTAATGTATAAACTAACGTTAAAAATTGATTTATTTCCTAAAATATTGATAAATTATTCCCATAAAAAAAGCGTAAAAAAATCGCAGCTGATAAAAATCCTACACGATTACGCGAATGTAAGAGCTTAAAAGCCAAAAATTAAATGATAACAGTCATTAAATATATGATGACTCGTCCCGTGTCATTTATCCTGCTCTTCTCCGTCTAATACTCCGTAAAAACTTGCAATACATAAAGTTGAAAGCTCCTCGTGCAAACATTGGGAAAATACAACGCGAAGACAGGAAAAATCACTCACCTTTGCTCGAGCGAGTCAGTTCTGTTGGACTTGTAGCCACTGTCGTTGAGGCTGCCTTCGTGACGGAGCGATGGCAGCGAGTCCCAGGGTGAGTCGCGCTTGTGCATCCCGGTGTAGCCTGGAGCCGAACTCGAGGCCGCGGAGCCGAGAGTCGAGCTTCCTGACTGCCAACCATCCGAGTGCCGGAACCACTGTGCCCGCGCCGACTCGCCAATGCAGCTTGCACATCTTCAACAATAATGGACATCGACGTATAACTGCTTAGAAGAAGTAATAGTGAGAAAGGCAAGGAACCAATATCAAAGTGAGCATATATTTTAATTGAGTACAATTAATTGAGAGTCCTTTGATTTTTTTTTACGATTAAGATAGAAACTCAAACAAGGAGTGAAAGAAATGAATACGTTGTTCTTGCATTGTTTCCACGCTCCCTTGGCAAACCACCTCTGTCCGCTGTATTTTTCGCCCATTGATCGCTCGCTGTTCTTTATCTCCTCCGATCTCGATTTTCGAAATTAAAAAATACGAGTGGAAATCTTTGTCCTCGATGTCCTCATTGGACATTATGCATACTCACATGAATTGGTAGTTGCATTACAGGCGTACGAAAAATTACATTAACTAGAGAAAAAAAAGTTCCCTCATATTTTGTATAAGGCGCTAAAAATTTTGAAAAAGTATAATTTCTTCGTTAAGTTATAGATGAAGAAAAATAATTCATCATTTTGTGTGCGTGCGCGCGCGCACGCATATTTGTGTATATTTTTTGGTGTCTACATAAATTATTTTCATAAACTTTTATTACACTTGCTGTAAGAAAGTTGTATTTAAAATAAAGTTATTTTATTAAAACATTAAATTTTTAATTCTGAAATATGTGAACAGCTTTCATATTATGTATGTTTCAAGTGTCACTTTAATATAGATATTAATGAATCAATACCTTGAATTATAATCGCTTAGATAACCTCGGTCTCGATCGATCTCTCGTTCTCGTTTTTCACGCATAATCTCGTTTCTATCGCTATAATAACCATCCCTATCTTTACTATTTTGTCTTTCATTGTAATAACGATAGGATAGAGGTAAAGTCGATGACTTGCTGGAGCTTGAACCTGGAAAATACAATTTTATATGCAATATATTAAATATTTAAAGACGTTTATGAAATATTCTAGTTTCAACGTGCAGGTTTACACAATAAGCGGAATTTTTTTACTAACGTCTTCTTGATGCATGGGGCGTTCGTTGTACATTCAGCGGTATGTTTTCGGCAAATTCTATAAATTAAAATATGAATTAAATATTGTAATTCAATATTGTATAATTTACTTATTTTTTAATTATACAGATATTAAATTCAAAATACCGATGCATGTAAAAAATATATACACTATTTACAACGCTATATTAAATATTATAATATTTTTTATATAAACATTATATGAATTATTATGAAAATAATTAGAATAAATTAATGAAGCTTTAATTATCTGTTTTTTGTTTTAAAGAATACTTATTACCTGAAAAATATATTAAATATATATATCAAAAAAATTTATTGAACTTATGATGAATTTTATTTTATATTGTTTTTATGCCGTGGAAATAATTTTGTATAATAATAATTGTAGTTATAATATCTATTTAGATATAATTTATTCGTATATTCATCTACTCGATAATCTAATTTGTACAAAATATTTATAAAATTTTTATAAAATAAAACTATTCACAAATAGTTTGTATTTTAAAATATTTCATCCTCATTTGACATTAACTTTAACTATATATTTCATAAAGTTTATACTTATATTTTATAAATTAAATAAACATAAACATTTAATTTATTCTTTGTAGCTGCAATTTATATTTCAAAATATCAACATATATTGTATAGTATTTAGTTTACATAAATCCTTAACTTTTATGCCATGGAGTAGATAAATAAATATAAATAAGATTTACAAACTGAGGCATTAAACGTTAAGGTTTGTATGTATAGAAATAAATGCATTGAAATAGTTTTAATTAAAGGTATATATTTCTTTCAAATAATACTATACAAAATTAATATTGAAATTTATAAATTTTTAAATTAAAAATCTACGTAGTATTAATTTTCTATTCACAAAATGTTATTTATATAACTGTAATTCGTTAAAATTATTAATAATTAAAAACAATTAGTATTACAAACTGCTTCAGAGATGTAAACAAACTATTTAATATTAATAAGAGTTAAATATTTAAAAAAATGGAATAGAAATACATGAATGGAATAAATATAGAAAACTGAAACGTATATCGCATAATAAATATCTTAGGATTTTTCGAAGTATGTAATTAAATCACTTTCTTGTAAACAAAGGGTAGTAAATTTTCATTTCTCTGATATTAGTTATTTAAAGCTTAAATTTATATTGTCCTTTCCTGTATAATATATAGTTTTGTACATTTGAATCTTCTAGAAATATTATTTATATCACGAAATTGTAGACAAATAATTTATAAATTGATACAAATGTATTACTTTTTCAAAACAAAAATAAAATAATTAAGAGAGTTAGATTTAAAGAAAATACTATTCTACTTTTATATAATTTCTTATTCAATTATGGACGAGCTCCAATCATACGAACCGATAAACAAAAAAGCACACAAAATCCACCAGTAAAAACATAATTCTACTTCCCAACTCTATTCCATAAGCTCTCCGTTTGCCTAGAAAATCTTATAACGCTAAGTATGTATGGCCTCATGATTTATACGCATGACGAAGGCCAAGTAAGTTGTTGGATGAGAGTGGGAAAAGCAGGAAACCGCGACTTAATAGTCTCCGACTCACCCAGATTCTCCATACTCTGGCTGAGTAGCGCTTCGAAGGTGTGAAGGCTGTAGCTTTCGGCATCCATACCCTTGGCCAGAGTATTACGCAGATGCATCTCGTACTCAAGCAGTAGTCTGCTGGTTGGACTGCCGGGTGTCGAGACCGAGTGCATTCCCGGCTGCTGCTGTTGCTGCTGCTGCTGCTGCTGATGATGATGATGAGGATGTTGATGCTGATATGCCGCTGAGCCGTTGCAGCGGCGTGCCTGACAATGGGACTGTGGTTGCTCCATATCCGAATTGCCATTGGAAGAGCTCGGAGTCGTCGCATAGCATTGGTTGTCGAAAATGACGTTGTCCGAAGGGGGCGAAAGGTCACCTGTGCATCGATTACGTTCCAAATCTAAGTACATCCGGCCTCGGCCGCCTACAAAGGACAGACAGTTTGCTACGTGCAGCGAGTCGGAAGTGGTGCGAGCTCGGGCAGCAGCAGCGGACTTCTCCGCCAGCTGCTTCCGCGCCTCCCTCTTTTTCCCTGATGGTTTTGGTTGCATGTGAGCTAACGGTATACGCAGTTATGTGCATTAGGACAATTGGCATACTAAAATGGGATGTTGCTTCCATTCATAACTTTGCATTATTTCGCTTCATTCGATATTTCGTGCTTGGATATGGTTTTTTTTGTATTATTAAGGCTAGCTTGTTTCAGTCGGGACAGGAGAAGGGCCGACTTTTCATTTGCCTGGTTTAAACTGAGAATAGCAGTGCAACTAATGATACAGTGACATAGCATCCTTTAAACATTGAAGAAAATTTTCATTTGTCGATGCTAATTAAACAGTGAATTCTTGAGGAATCTTGAATATTATCCTATCATTATTTCCACTCAACAATAAAATGTCTCAATTTATCATAAAGGATTACTGCACAGATCTGTTCAATAAATTGTGAAACAAGTTGAAAATTGTAAAGAAAATTTTATATTGATATCTTTAATAGAGTCTGTTTAGACAATTGTTACAAATTTCTTAGTTTTTCTAAAAGCTGCGTTTGATCTCAAATAGTTAAACAATGAATTAAACAAATTCACTATCGGAACAAATATGTTTATACTTTTAACAAATCAACATCTTATTAAAATTGCTTATGCACTCAGGAATTTAAAGTTTGAAATTATGCATCAACAATTACGAAAAGGAAATGAAAATATCGTAAAAAAAAAATCAGATACTAGAATATCGCCATACATTGGATAAAACAATTATAAACGATAGTATTATAAAATAGTAAAATATATACAATCATGCAGGCTAAAATTTATATATTTATCACATTGAAACGATCAATTCTATTGATTTGTAATGTTGCACAGTGATTTGATTATTTAATATTTTTACAAAGATTATATCATAAATGCAAATAAATATGTAGGAATAAAGTTTAATCGTAGAAGTAAAATTTAATGAGAAAATAACTACTTCAAAATCACAATTAATACACAAACAACTTTTTCGATACAAAAGAATTGCAATTTGATAAATTAACATTTAATCTTTTAAATTTTTCTAATTCGTAATTACAAATATTAAGTGTACTAAGTAAGCTGAATAATAATATCAATTACTAATAATTGTAACATATTGAACAATTATTTGCATGGAATATTTTATCTTATTTTATTCTATTAAAAATATTATATATTTATTTGTATTAATTTAGATTGTTAAATCAATCGCATTTCAGCTATAGTATATAATAACATTTTTTTCGCGTTACTTTATTCAGAGACATATATATATATATATATATATATATATACATACATACATACATATATATACATATTATTTCTGTAAGCTAAACAAATTTTTATTAGTGAAGCAAAAATTGTATAGACTAAAGTAAATGCCTTTAAAATACGCGTTTTAAATTCGCTTGTCCTTCACGCTGATAAGAAATATTTACTTTATAAATATAAAGTCGATTATTGCTTAAACATCTTAAAACGAAAAATATAAAATTGTACATCCTAAGACAATTACAGCAATTTCATAGAATTTAAACTGTAAATAAGATTAACAAATGTTATGTATTTTACTTAAAAGCAAAAGTAGCTTTTTTAATTTAAGTATTTTTTTGCATATATTTAGAAAAACAAACATGATATTTTACAAATTGAATTTAATTCTTACAATTTCTCGTAAAATAAATCATGTATAAAAAGCTATTTTTATATTAAACATAAATATGCATGATTTATTTCTTTCCCATAATTTTATCATAAATTGTACGTTTACATATATTGAAAAAAATTGCTGTTTATCAATGCAAGCAAATACAGCTAATAATATAATAATCAGACTCTTCTTGTCGTACATTAAAAGTACATTATGCTACGCGTGGATATAATTTTAATCGTTACAAAGTACAAGTATTTTCTCTTTTTCTAAAATTTATCAATTAAATGCCAAGATTCAAATTTTCAAATCAAGATCGTTATCCTTTCTACGTCATTTCTCTGTTATTTCTAATCAGCGTGATCGACCTATCGACTGCTAATGCGTGATGTACCGGAATACTGTCGATCCATCTCGTGAACGCTCCTCGAGCTCTGAAACTTGCCAGGATAAGGTTGCCTATAGGTGTGGGCGTAGCCGTCGGGCTCAAGCCCAGAGTACTTGGACCCCGGTCCAGGCCCCGGTTGGCAGTAATAGCTATGATGGCTGTGCCGTTTGCGCGTCATCTCCGGCGAGGTTAGGGGACTGTCGATGCTTGAAACTGGCTTCAGGGAACGCCTCAAACCCTGCTGCTCTTGTCCTCCACCGGCGCGCATGTCGTCGGTGCTCTTGCTCTTACTACGACGGCCACCCTGGCTGAAGCCGCGAGTTTGTGCCTCAAGCTCACTGTAATCCGCTGATTTGGTGTGCTGCAACTGATCGCGACGGTGGCACTTGAGGCTGCCGCCCGCTTGCGTACCTTCGGACTTGAGACAATCGCTTGGTTGGCCGCTGCTCGCATCCTGTTTGCTCGGCTTCTTGGGCGAGGGTCCGATTCCCTTGTCCTCCACTGCGTCTATCTGTAACATAGAAGGTTTTAGTAGTAGCTAGAAGTAAGGCTTCCGACATAGATTCATCGACACTATTCTAACTTAACTCGGATACTTTGATCGATTGAAGCACTGTTTAACAAGTAAACTGCATTTAACGCATACTTTATCAATACTTTAAACAGACATCTATCAACACTATTAAGAAAAATATGTTACTCTCAAATGAACATTTTAGTTAGAGAAACTGTTTGATTTGAAGTTATTAAATATTTATAAATGCCGTATTGAAATAGAATATAAAATTAGGCATTATTGTGTTTGATATCGAAAAATACAGCTATAAAGTAAATATTAATTTTTATAAAGAAATTAACAACTAAGAAAACTTATAGATTAATAATTTATAGATTAATAAATAAATTAAGTTCACATTATAATGATTTATATTATGCCACTTATACACGATTCTATATAATATTTCATTAATAAAGAGTATCTCTTGCAAAAATGATATTTAAGTTAGCTATGGGAATATATGGGGATAATATAAATAATATAGGGATAAGAAAGTAATTCTCAATATTCTTACAACTGTTAAAATAATATATAATTTTTTTTATATTTTGCATACTGATAAAGTAATTCTCAATGAAAATTAAAAAAAAATTATTAATGATGAAAGAAATTAATTAGGTTATCATAATTACTCATGATATAATAGAGATAGATTACAAGACAGTGAAACTCTACTGTTTCTTTTATTATAGTTATTTCGTAAGAAATTAAAAATTTTCTAGGCATTAAATGTAATAAAAAAAAACTAAGAAAAAAAATTAAAAGTGATATAGTATAAATACATATATAATATATAATATCTTAATTCGATCTAAAAAAAATTAGAGAATTTTGTTAATAAATATAGATATAGAATATTCGGAAAAGTGTATAGATAAGAAAAGTTATGTTTACTGATAAGTTTATTTACGATTAATTCGAGCCAAAGTTTCTGTTATTAAACATTACTACAATAATGATAGTAAACGAAAATTTTCAATTTTATATATTTAATATTAATATTAAGCTTTACAAACACATTATTTATTTAGAACCAAAAACTATCACACCATAAAATAATATATTAAATTAAAATATAATAATTACATATTGATAAAGTCTAAAATATAGATCGAAAATACAAAAAAAAATCATTTAATTTTAATAGAAGATTTAAAAAATTAATACATTAAAGAAATAATGATAAGGGTGAGTCCCTAAAATAATATTAAGATTATATTACAATAAAATTATATTTCTAAAACAATAAACTGTAAAAGATTTTAATTAAAAAAATTGTACTTTACTTATTATTGCAATAACGATGATGATAGTATTTATATTGACACTAATAACAATTAATAATGGATTATTCCATTTGTTTGTGAGATGTGATTTTAAAAACGTAATTGTAATAAAAAAAAATAAAGCTGAACTGGCATGGTATTGCAGTAAGTGTATTCCATTAAATTTTAATGCAAAGGATCGCTGTTTGCGTTAAAAATACTAAGATATCTTGATGTTATCATACATTCAAGCCCATTAAAAATACGAAAATTGTTGAAAAAATACAGAAATTGGTTAAACTGAATTTTCAAATTTAAATTATACTTTATTCTTATAAAATTTACGAATGAAATTAAGAACTTAAATATTTAATTTTCAGGCTCAGGAAATTTAAATTAAATAAAAGTTAAAAGGATTTCATAAAAATAATAAAATCCGTCATAGACCAAAGGAAATTATAATATAAAATATTATTGGATTAGTCAATTTTACATGAATATTTATAAAGGAATTATCGCTTACCTTTACGTCAATACACATACATTTAGAGCCAACTCATGAATAATGGATAGTCAATTTAATTTTTTTTTCACATTAAATCAAAATGATTTAAATTTTTTGTGCAAAGCAGAGAATTTTTCTGTTGAATTTATTTAATTAATCTCTAGGCGTAATTTCTAGATCTGCGAAGATCAGATCTATAGAAAAAACATGGACGGATCTATTTCTAGAAAAATCGATTAACTGGCGGATGGCCGAATACTTCTTCATGTGTAAAATCAATGTACCTGCGACCCGACTGTACTCGTCCCGATGGCAACATTCACGGTTTTGGGTGTTGTCTGACAGGTCTCACTCTGCTGCTGCTTGTCCTTGAGCTTGATGGAATCGGTACTTTTGAGGCCCTTAGTTACCGTCCCAGTACCGCCTCCACTATTCACGTTGTCATATAGTGAGGCGCTCGAAGTAGCCGTCATCTTTTCCCGGCCGCTCATTTCCGGATCTGCGGAGCGCGTCGCGATCCTCGGCAACGTCGATGAATTAGCTATAAGATACGCAAAATTAGTTATTCCTGTAGATTATGCTTGCTAGATAGATTTAATTCAAATGTGGTAATATATAGAGCAGATTATTTAGCAATAATTTGAAGTGGAATATGTAACTGAAATCATTAACTGGATTTATATAGTTAAAAAATACAAAGGTAATTTTGGAGATTCTAATAACAAGTAAAAGGATCGATTAAAAGAATTGTAATCTTAATGTATTTAATATTTTAAGAAAAACTACATTGAAATATATTGTTGAGTGAAAGTGAACAATTGAGATATTGGAAACGAGCTTCGTTTGGTTGTGAAAGTTTTCAAATACAAAAGAGATAAAGACAATACGTAAATGTTGTAATTTTAAATGAAATTTGAGGCTACTGTATGAAATAATATGAAACAAAACTGTATTATAGTGCACGACTAATATATGTACAATAGTTTGGTCGATCCAAAAGATACCAAAAGATGCGATGTTGTAATGTATGAAGTAGTTGTTGACTGTCACCTTATATATAATTTCAGGCACCTTCTTCGTTCATTAGCTTTGGCCATTCAATCAAATACTTTATTTGCAAACTTTTCCTTTATACAGACCAAATCAAAGAAATTCAAGTATCCACTGTTAGTACACCTAGTTCTATATTATTTCATATATTTTTAATTTTCCCTCCGACGTAAAAGAATATTTATCTAAAATCGGAGTTATTTTATTCTATCAAATATTTTATAACCACGCATTAACCACATTAACGCTGATAGATTTACTATAAAGTTATTTATCATTTATATTTTAGTTACGAACCTTAACAATGAAAATAAGCTCGTATCATAAATCTAATAATTTAATAAGATTCGCCAATCGCGCTGTAATTATACACAAACTCTTTTATTCGAAAGTCAGAATAAAATATCAGCAATAGGATTAAAAATTAGTTAATATAATAAGACTTACGAAAAAATTAACTTTCTTAAATAACTAAATGATTAGGTAAAAATATAATGGTTGCGTGAAATAGATATAAGCTTTTTTTTTAATCGGAACAAAAATCTCGCAGTCACACATTATAAAATTTCATCCGGTCGCGTCCATAACATTTTTCATGAATTTCAATAATACAGTCGAGCCCTTAACTCTTTGTTAAGCCAACTTCGAACGTGCATATATCACTGGTATACTAAAGCGAAATATTTGCATTACCTGCTAGTCGCTGATTTATTATTCAGCTTTTCTAACACTCGGACAAGGGGATCATGAAACGGAAAAAGCAACGTACCACATGTGGGCCTGCATCTCGGATCCTGGCGTAGTCGATTAAATTGTTCGGGTGTCATGCAGGTGCATTGGAGCTCGCGCGACCTGCTCGGCGATGCGGGCGTCGAAAGCGGCTTTTGGCGTGTTTTGACCTTGGTCTGCTTGTTCAGGGGTTCGAGCCTTAAGGAATACGATGAAGAGGCCTTACGTGAGATCTTGAACGATGGCGACTGGAACATCGAGACAAAAAACTTTTGAGGTCGTTCGCTGAAGAATGAGAGAAAATTATTAAAAGCGCGAGTTTGGAAGTGAGTGAGTGGGACAAGCGGTGTCAAGGATGGATTTTTTATGTTGAACGAGACTTGATTAGGAAGGCTATCCAAAATGAATTTCATTTTGCGAAAAACGTAGTCGGGTATTTATTAATTCATTCAATCTATTACATTTGATATTGAAGCTCCAATGGATTTTTTAAAAGCATTACTTTGAAAAATTGATACCCCCTCGTTGAATACCAGTCTTAATTTATTCATACGCGTTAATTAGTAGAATATCAATACAAAACTTTATTTTTTGCTATCGTATTAGTTATTTAGCAATGCATCAAATTCTTTAATGTGAATAGATATTAGTCATTCATAAGAGAATAAATATAAGTGAAATTAAAAATTAATTTTCTTACTAGGCATATTTAATGATATAATATTTAATGAAAACAATAATTATTAAGCAAAGTGTTTACGAAATTAATAATAAAAAAGCTTCATTTTACTTATAAAGTATGATAAATACTAATAAAAAATAATATATTAAGAAAGATGACGAACGTTCGCTTTAAAGTGGATGAACAATTAAAAGCTTAATGATACTATAAATAATCTATAATAAATTTTAATCAAAACATAAAAAATGTTATGATTTAAAAACTAATTTTCTTATAATGTTTACTTAAAAAAAAAATGTACATTTACAAGGTTAAGCAATTTTTCATATTAAATTCTGACATATTAAATTCTTTAGTTTTAAGTTAAAAACTTATAAATAATTATAAAAAATGTTTAAATATATTGATACGTGTAGATAAAGAGTTTTAATCATTTCTATCAGCATCCATAACTCAACGCGACAATTTTAATCAGACTTCTGAATGTAAACACGGAATTACTTACCACACATTCCTTGAATTGCTTGGCATCGATGGGACAAGTGAAATTTAACCCCCAAGTATCGGATGTCATTGTGTCTTTCCAGTAGACAAAACATTCGGACGCTTGACCTATTCGTGTCCCTAAATATAAATATAATAGAGTTGATGAAACAATGATTTATTTCTTTAAAGGAATATAAAATAAGATAGAGATGTATTTCTTAAAGAACCTCATCGTATATGTGTAATTCATTCTCTCTCAATCAAGTAGCTATTCTGTGTTCAAATTACAGATTATAATCAAACTCAGGAAAGCAGATTTTAATAATAAATGAGAAATATAGGTCTTATAATTTTATAGTATAACTAAAAATGAAAGAGCCCTAAATTAAATGGGAGAATAAATTTAGTAAGGTGGATAGAAATTAAGGTAGATTCGATATTAAATTTAATTAAAAAGTATATTTTTTTTTTAAGTACAAAATGATGTATACTTTTATATCTATTATAAATAGATATAATTTTTTCAATATAAATACATCTATGTATTATAATCAAGTTTATTGTTATTGTCATATTTTTAAATTGAGTTTGCAAAAACAGTTACTTAGTATATAGTTAATATTAATTTCGTTATATTTTTTATCTATACTTAGCCACTCACATTATGTTCTACGAACTATGAAAATTCTTTTCTCATTGCAGGTAAAATATTTACTTTTTAAAGCATTTTTAATTTTTATTGAAATTCTTTATAATTTAAACGATACTTTATTAGAATTCGTCGGTAAAGAGTAATGATGAATTCATTAAAGAATTCTAATCGATTAAATTATTTTACGTATTACTTTAATTGAAAATTACTTTAATTCGAATTTATAATCTTGTTTATAAAAAGTAAGAAACCTTTCATTATTTTTATGCAGAATATACATTATTACCAGAGCCTATAAAAAGAATTGAATTTCTAACTTACGCTTTATTTTTTATGTCACTAAGTGGCAAAAAACTATTTCCTTTCAATTTATAGATAAGTTATGAGTCAAATATTATTATCAATATTTTATATTTTAAATTATTAACATCTAATTTATTTCATAGAGTATTTATTTAATATTTAATAATAAATTGAAATACGTTTGAAAATTCATTATAAGAAATTTTTTTGACTGTATTTAACACTAAATAGTTACATAAATTATTTTGATAATTCGAATTATTTAAATTAATTCATTAAACTTAGTTTAATGTAGTTTAATAGCTTATAATAACAATTCTAAAAATTTACGAAAATTAAAACAATATTTTATAATTGTATATGGAAATAAATATTCTATTAATACTTAATTTCTCATATAAGGTTAAAATTAAAATTATTATAAATATAGGTATCTTTTGTACTTTCTGTTTAGTAAATAATAACACTTGTAAATTATTTGCATACTATAAAAAATTTGAAATTTCCGTGTAAAAGCAATAGTTTTATTAATCTTTGTAATTACTTACAGTGAAAGTAAGATGCTATAAATTTTTTATCTAATATTGAGAAATAACATTATAATAAGTATAAAGTAATATTTTAATAAAAGACTTTATATTAGGAAGGGCTACATTGAAAATATAAGAATATAAAGATTTATCTGTACCTTAAAAGTACTTTAGTTGTCTATAATTATGAAATTTTATTATCTTTCAAAAATAGCCGAAGAGTTTTATAATTCATTTTATAAAATATCAATAGAATTTCGAAATTCACGCGTTTAATAATAATTCTGAAATGATAAAAATGCCTGCATCGTAAATAAGTTAAATTTAAAGCCATTTTATGATTGGAACAAGTTATAAAAATAAAGCAAATTCGATATCCTAAATAAACTTACACGATTCCAGATCTCAAGCAGACCGAAAAATTTCTCGCTAAATATACTCGTTAAAAGTTATTAACTTTTCCTTATGAATAAGAATCACAGTTAGGAAACAAAATTTGAATGTCATTAATTTTCAGCGGATGAGAAGTGTGAATAATTACCAGGTTGGACCAGCCGCACATCGAGAATCTTGTCGACTTGACAGTTATACGCCGTTATATGGAAGATAGTCTCCGGCGAGTCCTGGATGCAGGTGATGCTCACCGGCACGAGGTCCTCCGAGACCTGCTGCCATTTCACGCTCCCGGAGCCGCTCGTCACATGGAACACCTCCGCCCATAACCTGGGGGAAAATATCGGCAGCTCACGCGGTATTACTAGATTCCTTTTTAAGTGCTAATATGATCCACACTTGGCAAGGCAAGTACTAGCAAACAGGCCAATAACGTCCCGAGATAATTCACAGCTTCGATTCACAGGAGGCTGATTCCCGAGTTTGCGTTATTTCTCACTCAATCGTAGAATAATTGAGTTTTTACAGATATGTTTTTACGAAAAATTATGAAGTACAGATTAGACTTATGTGGCTCACTTTTTATGTATTTTAAAATCATTTTATACAATTTGTATAAGATTTGCGAACATCTTGAATTATACGAACACCTTAAAAATTCTATGTACGAACTCGTGTCGATAATAATAGTCGAAGCTCTGGGACGTTACGGACATATGTAGTATGCTTACCAAAACTCTCAATATCGAACAATTATACACAAAGCCAAGTAGTTTATATATAGGTGCCTTTTGGAAAAAATGTACTCTAATCCTTATAATTATCGTGGAGGATTTCATACGAAGAACGAATCAAGATTAACGAACAGTAAGAACTTTTAGCGTGCTTAGTGTTGCACGTAATGAAGTCTGGTGACCCCTCACAAAGATTAAAGAGCGCTTAAATAAATGGGAATGCATAATGATTTCCGCGAGCACCGCCTTTGAGAAAATACAATTTGCTGCTTTACCTTCTAAGCAAGACTCCCGTTTAAACTATTTCCTTCGCACGTCTAATCGCAGTATAATTGTTTTATTTTCACGATGCATTGACGTATTTTATATGTTAATATAAAAGTTATTGTTTCTATTTTGACCCAATCAATGGCAATTATTAATTATTATTTAATGCAACGTTTGTCGTAAAATAAGTGCTATTTATGAATGTTAGTATGCATGTGATATTCTTATTATGTAAGAAATATTGAATATTAAGAAAAAAAAAAGTAAAGAAAATGAAATTATACACATTAACAAATGTCATGTATGTCATTTCACTTTAATCTTTTAATTAATACATCAATTCCAATGTTGTAAGTACAATAAAGTAAAATGAAATTTTGTTAGTTCAGATAATTAATTGATTTTATTTTATTTTATTTTGCATTATTACACTATAATCTATCCATGCTAGAACATTAATAGTTAGAATTATAAATTTATTATTTATGATAGAAATTTGATTTTGCTACATGTTTTATTACAATCAAGATTATACAATTTTCAATACTATTTTCTAAGAAAGTTCAACATTAATTCTCCGGCTATCAAAAATACTCATCTATTTGAATACGTAAAATATAAGATAAGTAATAAAAGCAGCCATTGATCCTTTAAATGTAGAATGTCGTATACCCCATAAAGACCTAAAAAAACTGTAGACAGCTACAACGCATTCCACCGAGAAACTACATATCTAAATACAAGTATTTCTATTCATGCAAAGCGCGGTGTTTAGGATGAAATGAGAGAAAGAAAAAAAGAGACACAAAGACAGAGAGAGAGAGAGAGAGAGAGAGAGAGAGAGAGAGAGAGAGAGAGAGAGACACACATACAATATAGAATTTCTGCACAAGTATAATAATTTTGATTTTTTTTTTGCAAGCGATGTCGTGAAAGACGAAGAAAAAACACTCAAAGACTAGTCAGAGAAACGCTTTTCATGAGAAAAATTGGTCTCAGGAGTAGTTCCCTATAGATAGTATAAAGTTATATTGCAAAAACTTTTTGGACGTGACATGAAAAGATGCTTTACGTAAGTACTGATCAAACATTATGAAATTTCAGATATAGAATTTATTTTTAAATAAAAAATATGAAGTTGACAATTATCAAAAGTCAAGTAAAACTCTATGTTATATTAGATAAAATTAAATTAATGGAGTTTTAATATCATTTCAGAAATTTATTTTATATTCTATAGAAAAGATGATATAAAATCTAATTACTTCTTTATTAGAATATTTATATGAGAAATTAAAATTTATACTCAAATTTTTCCATATGCTATCAACTACTTTGCCCATAAAAATAAGAAATCGGTAATATATTAAGCCATCATTCAATTATCAAGATCACTAAATACGAGAACTACCTTTCTTTTAAAGATACAAAAACTCGGAGCCACTTTTAGTAAGTTAGGTATTTCTTACTTATATACTTATATATGCATATAACTATACTATAGCGTGTATACCTTATTTTATAGATATTAGCTTAAAAATTATTCAAAAACTCTATTTCGTTATATATTTTTCATACAGTAGAAATTTTTATGTAAATAAAATAAAATATCCAAGATAGGTTGCATTATTTAAATAAAAAACATATTTCATTATTTTTCACAAAAAAATATTGAATAATATTAAACTATAATATACTATAATACCGAGAAATTTATATTTAAAATTTGGTAATCCATGTAATTCCCGTAGATGACTTTTTAATTAATTAATAGATTTAATACATTTTTAGCCTAAATATCAAAACTTCAGTAATAAAATGTTTTCCATAATCGCTATCACGTCTTTAATATATATACTAGACATATACAGTAAAAAATTTATCGACTTTTGTAAGTTTATATATATGTTAAATTAATGCATCCTTAAGTATGGATAGAATACAAAAGTTTTGTTCTTTTATTTATTAATATGTATTTTTATTAATATGTAAAATACTCAACGATGTAAATTAAATATAAAAAAGTGATATAAATATAAAAAAAAATACAAAAAAGCGATACTAATTTGTAACTTTTTATGAGGAAACTTTATGTAAATCTTAAATGAATGCTATCAGTTCATTTATTGTAATTCCAATTCATGTATATATATATAAATTCACTTCATTTTATTATTCATTTTACTTGTTTCTATTTGATATTCCTCACTGTAATTGATAATTCATCTAATTTTTATAAATTAACTTTCTTCACAATAGAAATTATTTCACAATTATAATTATCTACAAATCACGACTAGTTTACAAAAAAACTAACTCTTCGTAAAAGGTGCTAAGAATTTTATATTAAAAATTATTACAAACTCATCAATTATCCCCAACTATACTAGAAATGGCTTAAAGTCTCCTCAGAGCTAACTAAAAATATTTTATACTCTCGAATAATTTACTTAGTGCACTCTCTATTAGTCTCAAGTGTATTACGAAGTGTACAATAAATGACATTAAAGTAAACGAAATAAAGAATAAATATGACTACAAAAGGGAAATAAGAATCAAAATATTATAATAAAATCAAAGTTAGTATAGGGATTAAGCTGATATTGAGCGCAGAATCCCGAAATAATTAATAAGCAAACTGTGCACTTCGTTTTAAAAAACGGGACACGCTTCTTTATTTTGAGAGCTTCATCAATTTCCAAATTTTGCTTAAACAAACTCAAAATTATAAAATGAATGAGCTCATTAAGATTGATGGCCTTGTTCGAGTTTATCATTTTAACTATCGTTGTAACTTGGAAACTGAGGAAGACGAACAATCAGCAATATGTATAGATCGCTCGGCTACCACTCTCCAGCCCTTATTCGCAAAACTAAGTGAAAAAAGCGCGGGTGAAACGAGCAGCGCTGAAGGGTAATAAGTAATAAGTAACCAAGGAAGGAAGAAAAAAAAATGAAAGAATATAGTGATACTCATTAATAAAATAGACCAATATCCAATGGTAATGGTTGAAATGGTTGTCAATGGTAATGCGCACCTCTTCCTCTCTCTTAAGCTTCCGCACCTGAGCAAGTGACCCGTTTCGCCCCTGCGCTCGCCGCCGGCCCCGGAGCCGTTGGCGCGGCCCCGGGCGTTCGCCTGCCACGGCGAGTCCTCGTATCTGTAGCCCTTCTTAATCAGAGGCGCGCAACTGCACGACAGTTTGTTGCCCATCTTACCGCCCGACTAATTTGGAAGCGCTTGTTAAGATCTGCCAACGGGTTCAGTCGATTCTTCTCTCCTTTTGACACGTTGGGCGCATGTAGTAGTTGCGTTTGGCTTCGGTTATGTCCCGGACTTTGGCACTGCAGTTCCACGTATTTCCTCTTTCCTCCGCTAGCAGCACCAGATTCTCCGCTTTTCTCGTTCTTTTTTCCTCCTCCTTGATTTGGCTCACCTGTGTCACCTTGGGCTGTTAGTCCAAACTTTACGTAACTCGCTTGACGTTCCACGGGAAGCACTCGGTCAACGCTGGAACTCGGCTGAGATTACCGAGATCAGATAATTGGAAGCTTGTTTTATTGTCACATCGTTGCCAGCCGCTCTGTGCACCGAGGAGTCTCAACATCACATGGCCGCTGAAATCAGAAGCGACACCAGGGCAATTAGAAATATTGAGCTTCGTGCTTACGGCTAAGTATGCTTAATACAATATTCTCTAGGTTTACACTTATCGCCTCGTTTTATTTCAGCATGGATTTTGTATCAGCGTATATCGCCATGCCACTTCAACAATTGATTCAATTTATGTAAGGCATGTTTATAGACAAAAACGCTCGAAATAATAAAGCTCAATTTATTCCCCCTTGATAATACGATTAAGAGTACCGAAGAAAGAAAATTATATTTATACTGCTTTTGCCATCTTTCATCTGACGTTTTATATTCAAATATTTTTAGTCAATTATTGAATATTTCAATAATACGTGAAATAAGAAACTAGCTTTTATTATTATTTAAAAAAATTCGCTTCAATTCAATCTATATACTATTGCTGCAGCATACCACTCTCAGTAAGATGAAAAAAATATCATTTTCCTGAATATAATTTTTTTGTATTGTAAATAATTTACTTACAGAATATATAGCTGACAATTGTCATCAATACTTAACAATTACTAAGTAAATGAAAAACTGCTAAAAGTACCATATGATTTTGACCATTATCATTTAAATGCAACAATATAATCCAAACCATAAAGGTATCCGTTTTATTGACGACTCTAAACGGACACTAAACCTTCTTACATTTAAAGCGTCTTAGAAGCCCATTGTTACTTTTGTAAAGCGTCTTATATCTAACGTAATGTTATAAGTAGATGGTAGGCATAAGGTATCGATGCTTAATCGCAAAATTTTTAATATCTTAATTAAATTTTAAATAATGCAAGCTAATAGTTCTGCTGATTATATAAACGATGAAATTATCGATATACTAATCTTTCATTAAACACCTAGTAATAGCGTTCTTAAGTTATTCTATAGATATCACAAATATGGAGAACAAAATATTTCAGATAAATGAATATTAGTAAAAAATTGTTTAAAATCTAGAATATTATAATAGGCTACATTATTTTTTATATTAAATTTTATTTTAAATCACAATTGAACTATAAATTGCTTCCACTTTCAAAATTGAAATTTCGCTATAGGGAATAAATTAGACATTGATGTAAGAATGAATTGTAAGTTCTTTTTAAATTAATTTTCCATTTATATTAAGAAAAAATATAGCACGTATTTATTTTAATTAATTTAAAAGAATATAGTCAATCCTTGGAACGTCTGTTAGAATTCATATTTTCATAAATTTTCTTTGACTTTCAAGTTACAAATTCGTGTCATTAGATGAGAATATGAAGTAGAATTTCCGATGTTTTATACCGTAAAATTTATACTTCATTGAAACTTGAATTTCAATTGTTAAATAACAATTATAAAATGTAGTCTTCGTAAACATAAAAAATTTTTATCAATATAAATAATGCTAACATAAAATGAAAATAGTATACATATCTCTTCTATTATAATTAATATAATGTGACATATTTGACACTTTGAAATACCATTATACACTTCCCATAAGATATTATCCTTTATATCAATTTAAATTACATTTCATATAACTCTAAGTTAAATTAGAAAATGTATAATACTATTAGAAACTTTTACTCGTAAATATACAGTCAATTATAGAATCCGTTGAAATACAGAAACGTTGAAAGAAACGTTAATTTATGAAATTAGTCCGATAGTAAATGTCACTTTATTAAAAGTATTTAATACGAGTGATGTTAATACTAGTAAAGCAAAATACTTTTTTAAAATATACAATAGTCATTAATCATAAGAATACAATTACCAATACTAAATACATTATAATATTAATACTGAATTAATAATTTGAAATTGATAGATAATACTTTAATTATGTGTTATTCAATTTTAATTCTATTTTTATGTTTTATATCTATTTTTTATTTTAACCATCTTTTAGATAATCAGGCTTTATGCATATCTGCCCTCGTAGTTGTCCATGTATAAGTTTTATGATTAATAGAATTGGCATCAATCCTCCAGCGATGTTAAAATTAGGAAATAATAAAAAATGAATTAATCGAACAAATAATTGATTCAAATAAAGATAAATACTATATTTGTACGAAAATTGCTTTTAAATTTATAAAAAAATATTGTAGGAATGAATAAAAATCATTAAATGAGTTTGATTAGCTCCTTTAAGGGAATCTGTTTGTAAAGAGAAATACGTGTTTCGAACTATAAGAACTAGTAAGTAAGAAAATATGAGGCAAGCTTTAGGCAAATACGTAAATTTCATGAAATATCGTAGACTTTATGTCAAACAAAGAATTCAGCAATCACCGAAGTCAAAAGAAAAGAAGAAACAGTGAGTGGGTTCGTAGACAAGGAATAGCAATATAAGAGTGAGAAAGAATCTTAGGTCAAACAGCGATGTTGGTTTACGTAAGTAGTTACGATCCGCTTGTGGTCAGGTATTCCACTTTCCTTAAGTGGTAACGATCGACTCGCACCTGACCGCCAAGCAAACCAATCTGCTTGCTCATCCGCGAATGTAAAAGCTAAAAACGGAAAGGCCATGATTGAAAAGAAAAGCTTTGAGATTGAACTGAAGCTGAATCACAGACACGAATGAGTATAAAAGAAGATAATAAAAACGACGAGAGAAGGAAAGAAAGAGAGGCACGTTCCAGACTATTAAAACAACGCGAAAAAAGGAACAAAATAGGGCTACGAGATTCTCAATGAATTGGATAAAACTTTTGCATTAACTGCTTAAAACAATTAAAATATTTTATTTATTCAATGAACTATTTTTAATTTATCTAATTTTAAATTAAAAATACGATTATTTCATTTACAAATAGAAATATTGCAGTCTATGTCAGTGTGGGTGTATGGATATGGATGGGCGCGTGTGGAAGTTAAAGAAAAGTTTATTTTTAAGAATATAAAATTTAATAAGCACTATAAGTATATATAAAAATGAAGGAATTTTTAAATAATAAACTATTATCAATGAATTTAATATTCGATTAACATTCGATTATGAAAATTGTATATTATTATATGCAAGCTTAGCGACGGACTGTAAAATTCGAATAAAAAATCACCATGAACCATTCGACAAATGGCACTGACGTTTCCTAGGCTAGGTTTATGACTGCTAAAATTGATATATAATAAACTCTACGCATCCAAGTGGAGGTATTAATCACAATTATAGCGCTGTAACAGCATTAAAGACAGGAGCAATTCATTCACAAATTGAGCAACGATGCTATAACTGCGTACAAATTGTGAGATCGGAAAACCAAGGTAATACGCAATATCGATGCATCAAGTATAAGAGAAATTAATCACAGGTTAAACAATCTCGATAGGAAGTGTGCAACCAACGATGATGAAAAGGCAGATAGGAAGATTAGAATATATAACGTATTAGGAGATAGGGAATCGCGTTCTTTCAATCGTTAACAATATAATAAAAATCTCTTTGAAGAAGCTATGCTGTCGATACACATACATGCGCGCATACAACGCCAGCAAATTATCGAAATCAAATTGAATCGTCATTGATCGGCGGCGACGTGGCCTCCCTCTCGATTACGCCAGGAAGGCAATTTGATTCGATCGACCAGGAGTGAAAGAGATTGAGAACGCGGACAGATTGGAAGGGAGATCCAGTGATTTAGGGTAGAGAATGTGCGATGGTTCTTTTTTACATTACACTTTGGTGAGTCGAGGACTTGCGTTATACTTTTTGCGACGAATCCGGCGATACCTTGTCATAATAAAGCCACCCATTAAACCTACGCTATCTATGGTATTGTTGTTCCTTGCCGTGGTTATCGGCAAGCCGAAGATAATTTCTTGTGTGCTTTATACGTGGTCTAGAAATTGGCCAGATGTGAATGTATTTCTGCTATTTCTAAAGATTAATAATGGAAGAAGAGGAAGACAGAGAGCGAGGTTGTAGAGGACAGCGACAAAGACTGAAGTTTCTAACTAGGACAGCTCTCTACCTCGGTAAATGCGATTAGCGGTTGATGAGCATTTTTTCAAAATCAATTTGACAGCTAACGAACAAAATAATTAAAGCATTCTTTAATAGGATCAAAACGTTTTCATTTGTTTTATTGTACGCCCAGAATTGCGAAAACGGGTCCCGTGGTCGACGACGGACTGCATCTCCAAATGCATTAAGATAAAAGGATTATTCATCCAGGCAAAAGTAATGTAATTCATCCTCTTATAAAGTTTCTCCGTGATATTCTAAGAAAGAAAATAATGAAGAAAAATAAAAAGGAGCAGAAAAGTGAAGTATATATGGTAAAATAATTAACATTAAAAGGACACACATATTTGTGGTGATGCAAACAAAATATTTCAATATTCATCCGCAGAAGATGCGCACAAGGACGAGATGTAGAAAGAGAATGTGAGAGGGGGTTCGAGGGGTTAAGAGGAGGGGAGGGAATTAAACGAAACGAGAGTGGGGTGGTCGACAGCAGCAGTAGCAGCAGCATCGCTATTGGAGATAAAATCTGGTTCGGATCCAGGTCACAATCCTGCGAGGAACTCGAAGGGCGTGCGCTCTTGCTCGATCCCCACCCGACCAAAAATTACGTAATAAGAGAGAAAAGAGCATCCTGGATGTACTGCAGTAATATGCCCATGAGCAAGCGGGGTTGGGGGTGGGGGAGACAGGCAATTACCAGCAAGCGACAATGAGAGCTGGCACGCTTATCGCCCGTTATCAGACACCGTTACGCGAGAGACATTTTACGTGACACTCGCTCTGGCCTCGACTACGGATAAAACTTGGGTGAAATAAATTCATAGCGTGTAGTATGACGTACATTAACGAGTCTTGCGCACTGTATTGACTTTCCCGAGGATTATTTTTATTTTTTTCGTTTCTTTTTATCAATGCTTATTAATAGCTAATTATATTTTCATTAATTTCGCGATTAATTGTATTTTCTCCACTCTTCTTTTGCTTTAAGTTCATCATC